AGTGGTCAGGTACAAGCTAGGGGCTGTATCAATCATCCTACAACGCAAATTGTGGGCATTCTTGGGTTATACTATAGTATAGGCAATGCATGTGCCATACAAAATCCATATGTCCTGTACAGTATTGTACAGTGGATTCATTCCTCAAGATACTAGTAACCGACATCTAGCACACCGGAGTTGTCCCTCAGTTATAGACATGTGAAGCCGCATTAGACCTTTTATTCAGAGTGCCCCGTTTAGAACTTTTACTCATCAGTCAGCAAACTTCAGATGTTTTCTTACAGAAATTCTGTCTTAGATTCATTATTCCGCTAAGGTAAGGAGATCGCCCGGATCTGTCTCCGTGCCCCGCAGTGTGGTTATTACCACAGCAGTAGTGGTCAGGTACAAGGTAGGGGCTGGTCTCATCCATCTTGGGCACGGTCATACTAGTATTATAATATACGCAAAGGTTTCCAATTGTTAATTTTAAAGACTTTCTTGTGCTTTGTTTTTTTATAAGACTGCCCGGGCGGGCCCCGTTTTGGAAATGTGACCCAAGCATTACGACTGTGTTCTTGGGGTACAGTCGTTCATGTGCTGTTCAACATTCAGATGCCTTATGTAGTACAGTGGATTCATTCCTGAAGCTTACCGGCATCTAGCACACAGCAGTTGTCCCTCAGTAAGACACCCCAAGCCGCATAAGAACTTTTATTCAGAGTGCCCCATTTAGAACTTTTACTCAGTCAGCAAAATTCAGATGTTTTCTTACAGAAATTCTGCCTTAGATTCATGTCAGGTTGGCACACTCTCAAATCTATCCAAGCTCTACTGGTTGAACCTTGCCTCATGTCGGCGGTTTCTTCACGGTCTCCTTGAAAATCCTACGACATCAAAGTCTAATGGCGACCTACGACACGTGTGAGTGACCTTGCCCTAAGTTGGGATCCGAGTAGTTCTGTTTTCAATTCTTTATTCGTGTATTAACAGATAGACAACATCCACTGCAACATGCAGTGTTCCCTGTGCTTGATTTAGTTACTTTGCAGCACAACAGACCTGTACGCACTTTACCCACCTGGTGGCAGACTATTGCACATGACAGCCGTAACACGCAGAGTGTGAAACATATAGGTATATCAGATATGACATTCTCTCTCAAAGATGCATCCACTGCAAGATACAAGTTTTTGTACTTAATTTGGAAGTTAATATTATAATACTAAAACCCACTAAAGCTTCGCAGCACAACAAACCTGTAAGCACTTTACCCGCCGGGTGCCGGGTGACAGACTATTGCACCTGGCAGCCGTAACACGTAGAGTGAGGCTGGGAAGTTCGCTCGTACATCATCCATTAAAACGGAGATTACCGTCTAAAGCGTGATGGATGGACGGCTGAACACGCGTCACTTCCGCAAGTCCACAACAAGTAAATTTTATGGATGACATCATCCGCAGATTCCAAATCTAATGCGAGCGGGCGAAAAAACAAAAAAACAAGGCGGGTCGAAAAAAACAAGGTTCCTACAATTTAAAATTTTGACTCAATCATGGTACAAATGGTTTTGATCACATACACGCAGCCAGCATCACATTTCACTGCATCAAAGTAAGAAACAAAACATTAAATCAGAGTCTTTTCTTGTCTCCTCTCTTCATAGTTATTTGACATCCACCTTTCGGCATGGCAACAGGCATCTTTGCCCATTGAAACAGAGATTACCGTCTAAAGCGTGATGGATGGACGGCTGAACACG